ATAATGAATTTTTAATATATGCATTTAGTTAGATTCCTAATAAATTAATATATTAAGACAATCATTTAATACGTACGTACTGTATTAACATTATTGTTATAGTGTATCCAAATTTTTATTTAATATAATATAATATATATATTATATATAAGCGGGTGCAAAGTTAATACGTACGTATACGTATGTAAAGCAATTTAATCAAGCAATTACTTATTATATCCGCAAATTTTGAAATGATCTGATCGGTGGATTCCATCATAAATCCGACTAAACAAGTTTCGTGATTATTGTACGTACCGTAGCAGCTAAAGCAGAAATGAAATTTGGGCGCAATTTTTCAGTTCGTTTAAGGTTATTATATTACAGGTTTTTAGGGTCAGAATTATTGTTAACTAAAAGAAATGTATAAGTGAACCAATAACGATTTCAAAATTAGATCCGGACAGTTCCAGCTTTAGCTTTATACAAAACATTACCGTTACAGGTATTTATTTTAAACTACTAAAAACTTTAACATAAACCTATGATAAATTCGTATCACGAAATTAGTTACAGTAATTAACTTTTAAGTAAAATGTACACAATTTGAACCAATATTTTGTTGATTTAAAAAAAAAACTGATAAACCTTTAAGAGATCCAATAATTATCAATGCAATCATTTTTAACCATCAAAATTCACCAAGTTTCTCTAATGAATAGATCTCTATATGCTTTCGTTAACTACCATTAGTAATTTTACATCTTTAACAGATTTACGCATCAGTCCCTCAATTAGTTCTAGTCTAGAGTATTATTATTGACATTTTTAAAGCAACTAGATAGAATTTTTAACATGGAATTTCCATCTTCCATCTTCTTTAACAGATTTACGCACCAGCTCATTATGGTCCCTCAATTAGTTCTAGAGTATTATTATTAACTTTTTTAAAGTAACTAGATAGAATTTTTAACATCATGGAGTTTTCCATCTTCTCTTAAGTAATGATTAAATTGTCTAGCTCATTGCTAATTGAGGGTTAATCAAAACTTTACTCATTGTCTGATTTCCGAAAAATAATTTTTTTTGTCTACTAAAGAAGGGTTAAATTACAGTATTTGTCAAAGTGTAGTTGCATAATAAGTTACCGACGTGCTAAAACAGAAAAAAAAAAAGGATAAATGCTTAATCCGATTGGCTCGAACCCTTTTGTCCGGAACGCCTTTGAACACTTCTGGTAGTAAACTATTCATGTGATGATACAAAGCTTATGCACAAATCACACTGACTTTTGCTTATCAGACGGTTACGTAGTACGTAAGTACAACTAATACGTATATCTTTTTGTACACTGTTTACGCTTCTTTCTAAAAAAGAACTGATACAACGACATCTTTATTAAATATATTATCTGCTTTTCTTTCCTTTAATCCCTTTAATTTTTTATTTATTTGCTTTTTTTTCTTTTTGGTTGTATATTTTATTATTATTTTTTGTATATCGCTTGTTTAAAATCAAATTTTTCCGTTACAAAAAGTTAATATCTTTGAAAAAAAGAAGAGTAGGTTTTTTTTAATATTAATTACCTTTCTTTGGGAGAAATTCATTAGAAAAATAACATAATAATTTGTACAAATTTAGGTAGTTTATTAATAAATAATAAACCAACTTATATATTACCACCAAAAGAAGAGTCAGCAAAATTATTTAATTCTAACCTTCTAACCATGAAGTGTTAGACTTTACAATTATTAATTATTCCCTTGCTAATAAGCATAGGCACTTTAATATTACCATTGACTGGTCTAATCTACACCTCTACGTTCATTTTATTCCTTTCCCCATTTTTGTATTTATAATTTTTTTCCCTTAAACCTCGTTTACAATCAAACCACTCTAAACAGAACAAAATGGCAGATAGTATAGATAATAACGAAAATCAAGCCTCCGTTACTCCGAGGCCTAGGTTAAATACCGAAGGTCGTGGCTCTGACACGACATCGCGACGATCTTTTTATAGTAACAGTGCTCAATCAACCGCTGCATTAAAAAAACAACTACAAGATCAACTAAACGAAAATGCTACTCAAATGCAGGCGACTACTGACTTAGCCGCTGCTCTTGCAAAACAACAATCAGAATTAGAAAATCAAATAAAGGCATTAGACAAGACTGAAGGTAATGAAGTCCCTCAAGAACTAAAAAATAAATTGGCTGACCTTGAAAAGGAAGCTGGTGCTATATATGAAAGTTCCGCAAAGGTTTTTCTGGGTTCAAAAAGTCAACCAGACGTAAGTTTTATTATTAATAATTACATTGAATTCGAATGATATCACTTCAGATCACAATTTTGTAAAGATTAGCTTATATGATTAAATAGTAATAACTTAAAGGATTCGTCAACTTTTAAAATTTTCTATTAAATTTATTAAATTAATTATGATTATATATGATTATTTATTATTGTTTATTAATTATTGTTTATTAGGTTGGACTAGATTCACCAAATGCTTCAACTCCATCGACACCTGCTATAGAAACACCAACTCCAACTACGGGAAAATCCTCCTCAAGGCGTGATCGTAACGCTGCGAAAGGCCGTCAAAAAGATATAGAATTTGCTACTGAAATAGGTCAAGGTTTATTACAAGAAGTTAGACGTCTACAAGCTTTATTACATGAAAAAGAGGAAAGAATAAAAGAATTAGAGGCTGAAAAAGCTGAATTAGAACGTACTATTGAACAACTTAATAAAAACTTACGAGCAAATCAAGAGTCTAAAGGTAATTTAATGTTACTGTATAACTTGCCTTAATATTAATATTAATTTTTAATATTCTTAACAATTAATATTATTCTTCTTTTTATTAGAACGATTAAATGAACAAGTTTGGGCTCTAGAATTAGCTAAGCAAGACCTTAGTTCTCAATTAGAAGACTTACAACAACAACTTACTAAAGCTCGTAGTGATTACACAAAGATTGAAAAAGCTCTTTCAACCGCAACTGATGTTATAGAACAACTTAAAGATAAAGAAGAAAAATTAACTGCAAGTCTTGAGGATTTAAAAACTCGACATGATAAAGATATGGCAAATAATCGAAGGCATATTGCCGCTCTTAATAGAGAAAAAGCTGATTTATTAAAAATTGTCGATGATTTAAAAACTCAATTAGATTCTTTTGTAAATGCCTCAAAAATTAAGAAAAGTACTAAGGAAACCGGTACCGGTTCAAATAATATATTATATGATGAAGATGGTCAGATTATTACTAGTGGTGATAATGATTCAAGCATTCCTCAGGATTCTATTAATAAAAATTTAAATGCTCAAGAAACTATGAAGGCTCTTGGTGTTGCAAACCGTATGATCGGTAGCCTTCGTGCTAATCTCCAAAAGGAAAAGAGTGAAAAATATGAATTAAAGAATTTATTATCTGTTAGAGAAGAACAAATTGAAAATATGCGTGCTGAACTTTATGATGTCTTACCTGATCAATCAAAACAAGGGAACCTTGAACCAGGTGACCGTTCCATTATCTCTGAAAATTATTTACTTTCTAATGATCTTGATAAGATAAATAAAGACAATCGTCCTTCGTCCGGTTGGTTCAATAAAGCTAAAAACAGTAGAATTTCTAGACAATCATCCTTATCATCTACATCAAAAGTATTAGATGATGATATTATTAAAGATTATGATGATGATGATGATGAAAGAAAAGAAATTAAAGCCGCACGAAGAGATGAAGCCTTAAGAAAATTAGATAATAATTCTACATCCCGAGGAATAGTGAGTGAACCTGAAACTTTTGATGATAGTAGACCAAGTAATTCCGATTTAAGGTATAAAGATTCGGTTGTTCGTAGACGTGTTACTGAATATGAAGATATTAGTAAAACTGTTGACGATGAAGGCATTATTCGTAGAAGCTCTCAAAGTTCAAAAGGTGGTGAACCTAGATCTCCCTCTGACGAAAAAAGACGTACCAATTCCGGAAATTATCCCATAGTAGAAGGTGATGAAAAAAGACGTACCAATTCTGGAAATTATCCCATAGTAGAAGGTGAGTATCCATTTCCGACAACAAATTAGTCAAAATTTGATTTTTTTTTTAAAAAAAAAATTTCACAAAGTTAACACTTTCATCTAAAATAAATTCTTTTCAATCACTCGATCAATTCCCAAAGAACCCACCACATTTAAAACATTCGTAGATATCGGTGTACAAACTGAATCGAGGGGTGAACGAAGTGATTCAATGTCAAGCAAACTTACATTTGGAGATCCCACGAACCCTAATAATCTCTCTCACGATTCAAAGAATGAACGAAATAGCCAAACTTTGACTGTGCCTGATAATGATGATAAACGATTCACACTTGATCTTAGTTCATCATCAAATAATCAAAATAATCAACAAGCTCAATCACCACGAAGTATTTTGCAAAATTCAAATAAGCAACAGCAACAAGGACCAATGCAGAGTTTAGATCCGCCTCCACGCCCCGCGAATGGACCATCAGCAACATTAATACAACGTTCAACATCCGTAAACTTTGGTCAACAAGCGGGAACACCAAAAGTTCAACAATCCCTCGATAATGCACATAAAAGTTCAGCGGAATCACAAGATGGTATACTATCGAACGGTAAATCAAGGGGTATTAACAACATAAATGGCAGTGAACCCACCACATCAAGACTCCATAATCATTCGTCCAGTTCAGGTTCTATCTCAACATCAAGCAGCGCTTCGATAACGACAGATCCAACACATAGTAAATCACCAGAACCTAATGGACAATTACAAAATGGACAATTGCCCGGACCATCGGGTACTGATCCAACTATAATTCATGCGATCACTCAAACCATGATTGGTGAATACTTGTGGAAATATACTCGACGTAATTTCGGGAGTGATAAACGACATAAAAGGTTCTTTTGGGTTCATCCATATACCAAAACTTTATATTGGAGCAATAAAGATCCAGGTAACAATGCACCTGTTGATCCCAAAACAAAAAGCGGAACATCATATTTTGGTAGGTATACAACTTTATATATATATATATATATATATATGGGTGCCGCCAAGAGAAAACCAGGAATTCTAAAAATAGACTTCCATCCACAGCGAAGTTGCGGGGTTTTTTAATCGGTCAATGTAATAACACGATGTTATTACATTGACCGATTAAAAAACTCCGCAACTTCGCTGTGGATGGAAGTCTATTTTTAGAATTCCTGGTTTTCTCTTGGCGTCACCCATATATATATTTGAGGGACTCTTTTCTTTTTTTTTTTTTTTACGATGACGAACTGATTTATGAACAATAATTAATTGATAAATAGCATATATAGAGTCAGTAAAACAAGTTATTGACCATAATCCTTCACCTCCTGGTTTATATCATATGAGTTTGGTCATCAAGACTCCAGAAAGAGAATTAAAAATTACTGCACGAACCAAGGAACGACATGACTATTGGTACCAGGTTGGTTCACATCCATTTTCGAGCAATTTATGTTTTTTTTTTTTTCGATATTTGATACAAACCATATAAAAAATTTTCCCATTTAGGCTTTAAGTTATTTGCTTCAACAACGACCGGATGAATCAGACAAAGCTAATCAAGGACAAGGCCAAGGACAGACACCCGGACGACCAGGAAAAATGGCATCAGATCCTTGGGATAAGCAACCAAATACCCGTAGCTTGTACGATAGTACGTCGCCAACTGGATCGTTAAAAGGTGGAAACCTTAAGAAAAAATCCAGTTTTAATAAAATTCAATCAATATTCCGACGCCAAGATCCATCATCATCATCACCTCTTTCATCCGAAGTGATTGATGGACAATCACAACAACTTACGGTACCAGGAACGTCACATAATGGATTTGATGACGATGATTTTGTCGATGATGACGACTTTGATTTAGAAAATGTAAGGCAATGCTGTGATGGTCGTCATGACGTTAGCAAGCTTGAACGAGCCGGTACCTATAAAGGGCACCATCATAATCACCATAGTGGGCACTTCTAAAAAGTTTTTAAACTTATTAAGTACTTTTAATGTTTTTTGTATTATTTTTTAAGAATGGAGTTTTTTTTTTGTTTTTTTTTTTGTTAGTGAATTTTGATAAGCAAAATTTTGATTTTTTATAAATTGATTCAAAAAAAATTTAGATATACATAGCAAAAAAATATTATGTTTTTATTATTATTACTATTATTATTTTTATTATCTGTTTTTCTTTCACCTAACCTTTGGTTTGTATACTATAATATTATTACTACAAAAAAAAAAGGAAAAAAAAAGAAAAAATATTTTTATTTGGTGGGTTATATGTTAAAACATTAAAAGATGTTACGATGTGCCAATTAGCAATTATAGAAAATATATATCATTTATTATAAATTTATATTCAATAAGAACTTTATGTATATTAACAATCAAAGTGAGATTCTAGCATACGTACGTACGTCGTAAATTGTACATGTTTAAGTAATGATACAAAAGTATATCGGTATTGGGTAGACATACCTTTAACGTTAATATTTGAAGTGGTCATGT